TTAATATTTGTGTATCTTTGGGTCCATTCAAGTAATATGCAGCCTCACAGTGTCTAAATGCATATGTCATAAATTACATTGATTCCCTCCCCCTCTCATCCCCCCATGAATTGGACTAAAGCTTTCACCAAGAACAAATGGGTAAGAAACTACATTTTTGTTAAACTGGAGCATGAGAAAATACCAGTTTTGAAGTAAATGTCTATCTTGAGTTTTGCAACAAGAAGAGTAAATCATACACTTTGGTGCATTTCAGATGCCACCGTTGGCACTTACATAAGACCAAGAGGCATAAAAAGCAAAACCGTTATGTACATTTGTAGATGAGGTTATTACATGCCTCTCTCCAAATTATAGACCAACATCTTGGCTAAACCAAATAAATATCTGAATTATATTTAAATTCTTTTTCTTCACAGGATTTTTCTCACTTCACAGGATTATCCCATTTCAAAAAAATGGGATACAGCATTTTTTTTTTTTTTTTTGTACTGTCCTTCCAATCGCTAAGGATATGTGATTTCTCCTTACAGGGGGTGACTAATTTTATCACATTGTACCTCACACGTTAAATAGATGTACACTTCATTAATACTCCAAAAAATGACAATTTTCTGACTTTATGAATATTTGTGTTTGATGATAATCTGCGGTAGCCTATAACTCATTGTGTTGCTGGTGGAATTAAGGCTCTTCTGTGGAGTCATAAGAAAAGCATTTCGGGAACGATGCATAGGAGATGAGTTGTAGTAGTAATACTTATTGGAGCAAAAATAAAGAACTGACCCCAGGTGCCTGTTGTCCTATCCATGTCCAGATGCAGAGCCCCCTGGGAGACTGGAAGCCAGTCTTGCTGCAGGGGAAGGCCATTCTCTGGGGCTTCAAGCCCACACTTGTCCTCACCAAGCCCAGAAGGACCAGTGTCCAGAAGTTCTGTGCCACTGGCCCTGCATGGACAGAGCATCCAAAGCTCTCGTAGGATCAGTTCATTTCATGACAAAGCTCTCATAGTCCAGCTCAGTCTCTGTCCTGTCCAGCCAGCTAGTCTCTGTTCCTGCTGCACTCCAGCTGGCACTGGCTGCCGCACCAGACGCATGCTCACAGGGGTGCACTGGAGCCCCACATGGCTGCCCAGAGAGTGCGGAAAGGAAAGGAACCGGGAATGTGTGCTACTGACCAGGAGGGGACTTTGCTAAGCTTTGATCATATTATCTCCAGCCTGGGAAAGAGCAGATTTTCTTTCAAACTAATCAATGTGTTTCTTGTCTCTTTGCAGCCTTGTGCTGGGCCCTCACCCCATTATCCAATCTCTTTTCTAGACCTTCCAGTTGCTATGCCCTCATCTAGTCTGATCCTTTTCCCAGGCTATCCTCCTCCCCTTTATGGTCACTGTCCCGGCTCCCACTCACTGCACATGCCTCAGAGTAGAAGGACCTCCCCTCTGCCATCTTGCCTTCCACTGCACCTGCCTCAGCAGAGGAATTTCCCCTGTTGTTAGCTCTCCCCACCTAAATAAAGTCCAGTGAAGTGGACAGGTAAGTCCCCCGGGGAGACTGGAAGCCTCCTTCCACTGGGATGGGGAGGGGATATGTAGGGATGTTAATCCCCTTGGCAGGAATTCAGCTATGGCCTGGTTGTCTGAAGCTGTGCATTCCAGATTTAGTCTTAAGTATAATTTAGACTCAATCAGGCCCAGGAAGTCTAGCTCCCTTCTCTTTGTTAACTGCTAGCTGGACACACTAACATTTAGAAACTCTTTCAAGTAACAAATTCAAAGTCAGGAACCACTATCATCTATTAGAAAGGAACTAGGATATTTTTTAATTGACCTCTATTTCAAAAACTTAAAAACAAACAAAACAAAACAACCCTGCCTGGCTAGCATGGCTCAGTGGTTGAGTGTTGACCTATGAACCGAAAGGTCACAGGTCAATTCCTGGTCAGAGCATATGCCTGAGTTGCAGGCTCAATCTTCATTGTGGTGCAGGCAAGAGTCAGCTGTTCAATGATTCTCTCTCATCATTGATATTTCTACCTCTCTCTACCTCTGTCCCTCTCAGAAATTAATAAAAAACATATTTTTTTTTAAACCTGATGAGCATCTATATAAATAAAAGCCCAGTGACCATTATGGCAGAATGACCAGAACAACCGGAACCACCGGTGGCTATGATGCACTGCGGCAGTCAACCAGCCTGATCCTGTCCCCATTGCCCCCCCACTTCCTGTGGCCCCTTTCCCTGACCAGCCCCACCCTGATTGGGTCTTCTACCTGCTTGTAACAGACACAGGGAGCGCATGACTGTGCTGTCAGCACCCCTTTTGCGGGGAGATGCCCACCAGGTATACAGAAGGCACTCAGCGAGAAGTCTGCACGGGTTGTGTTCACACCTTCATGTTGTCTCCCCCACCACCACCATGCCAAAGGCAGCCTGATGCAGGACCCGTGCTGACCACCCACACGGAGAAACTGCGTGTGATCAACATCATGTCCCACAGATGCCTGCATCTGCCTCAGGAGGAAGACGCTACAGACCCGGAGCGGGAAGATGGGGACTGAGATAGAAGGTCTGGGAAAAGCAGGGCCGCACATGGCCATGTTCTGCACTTGCTGCCTGACCCTGCTCCTCCGCCCTCCGTGTGCAAAGGGCCTGCATTGCCACCTTTGGATGGAGGCCTATGAGTTGAGTGAACAACTGTGGCTGTGCCTGTGTCTGCACTCAGCCTCCTGCCCTAGTGGATAAGCAGGAGATATATTTAGGTGTCAGAATCTGAAACCTCTTTATCAGGAATAATGCAAATACTGCAAGACCCACACGTGTTTGTAAACAGGACTCTGTCCTGCTGTGTGTGAATCCAGATGAAAGGCCTGCTCTCTGCCGCGGAGCAGCAAAGGCTGCTCCTCTCTCAAAGGCACACGACCTTGAGAGGTTTAAAAGGAGAAGGAAATAAAAATAAAACAAAATAGCAACAAGCTCTGAAGCCGCTGTGGATGTTGTCAAATCCTCTGCATGGTGGGGATGTCAGAGCGCATATCCCCGAGCCTGGGACTCAGGCGGCCAAGCTGCTGACACCTGCCAGGTCACCTAGCACTGGCCTCATCTACAGCCACTTTCAACCTCCCGCCAGCTCCTGGAGGCGTGGGCTCATGGATGTTAAAGCAACCCTGGGCTTTTTGATAAGAGAGAACCCATAACACCCCTTCAGGAACATGTTTTTAACTGTTCTGAGATCACGCTCCCAGCCTTGGCTACTCTCAGATAGGCCTCGGTGATTCCACTCGCCTGATGCAAAGACTGACTGGGTTTCACAGAGCCCGAACCCGGAGCATCCACCTCCTTTCAAAAGGAAGGTCACCCTGGCTGCAGGTCCTTGCTCTTCATTGCTTTGAATACTTCTTGCCACACCCTTCTCTACCCAGCAAAGGTCTTTAGAATTGAAGGCAGGTAAAGAGCTTCATAGACAAGGAAAAGCTAAAGGAGTTCATCACCCCAATTGCTGGCGGGCAGCCAAGAGCCCATGTGCTCTCCCCTCAGTTGGCCTGGCTCAATCAGCCCCAGCAGCTGGACCCCACCCATACATGAATTAGGGCACCGGGCCTCTACTTATAAATAACTGTATCAATTTCAAAGAGGGTAGTCAAACCCAGAGACAGGTAGAGTGAATTTCCTAAGGTCACAAAAATAAATGGTGGTAGAGATGTGATTCAAACACTCCAGTTTAGTACCCTTTCCTGAAAAATTCAGAGCATCAAACAAATGAAAGAAAATGATGTGATTAAGGATCACATAAAATCTCAAAAGTTTTTATAATTGTTTCATTTGTGACTAAATCTTTCATGAGCCCAGAAGTAGAAGTTTGGATCTGGTTTGGTTAACCCTACTGCATTCTCCATGTCAGTTCAGATGGCCTTTTAAGGTCTTCCATCATAATCTAGATGCAACGTTCTGTAACTTGATGAAACTGGCTTCACCTCTTTTCTAACTCTTTTGCTAACTAATCCTGAGGGTCTAACTCAACCTTTTTTTTTTTTTTCCTTAAATCTCTGCGTCTTAGCTTTTCCACTACTAAAAGGAGCAGGTTATATAGTAGGTAGTAAATGAGAACCCTTCCATAGTTTTTTATTATCTTTCAAATAGGAACATTTTCCACACACAGCAGCTTGCACTTTCTGGGAAAATCCTCAACTCTGATAAAAAATTTTCTAAATATGTCAATGTGACAACATTTGAGAGGAATGTATTTTCGAATCAGGTTGATTGATAGTCGAAGTCATGAAAATAACCCTGAAGCTTAGCCCATATCATTCAAAATAGTGTGAAACTATTTCCCTTAAATGGCTGCCTATCTCATCCCATCTTTAGGGCTGCTTTAAATTTTCAAAAAGCTACAGGATTTTCAAGAATCACTCTCCAAGTTGAGTCTACTCTGAATTTCAAAATCCACATGGGTATTTGATTAGTTGTTTCTCAACTGGAGATTTTGCTGCTCCATAAAATGTTTCTTTTCTCCCCACTTAAACTTCTTAAGAGGGCTTTTTATGTAGAATATATAAAAATAAAACCTCATTAAATTTCTCTGCCAGGAAAAGGATGCTAGAAAATCATTGGTAAGCTGTAGAGAGAAAGTTGAAAAGACTGCACAAATTTTAGGGATATTATACACTTTTAAAGAGGAAAAAAAATGGAGTTACTATTTTCAGGAGGAAAAATCAGTAGAAAAATTATCCTTTGTTCCCATCACTCTGTCACATTTGCAAAAGGCCTAATTTTCAATATCAGTATATTTAATCATTTTGAGATGCTAATCACCTTGAACTTTTAAAGGCTTCCTGCGAATAAGATACTCAGAATGACCTCATTCCTTCACTAATAGAGGCAACCTCAACCTTACTTTCAAGTGGACTTGTTGAGCTGATCACATCACTTTAAATTACAACAAAATGGTGATTGCTGTTGAACTATCTATTCTCTGGTAAAAGTGAAATTGAAATTGCATACCTTGATTTAAAGATGTCGGGTGGCATGAGTTCCAAAGTATGAGTTGGTCCATATAGGTTAACAACATATAATTTGATTGTTGGGTTCACTTGACCTGCCTTTGAGAAAATGAAAGTTGTAAGGCAAATACATTAAGTATTAGACTGTATAAAGGAAGAAGGCAAATGCATTTGACTCTTATAATTTTGTGTTAGAATTGGGGGGAAAGTTTAATTTCACTGAAGTAGAAATGATTTTAAATTCAACCACTTGATTGCTTTCAATTGTTTTTTGAATATTGCTGCTTCTCAAACCATTTTAGTCAGAGAATTAAAGGTGATAGACAATCATGATGACTTTATTCATTAGCTAGTGCTACTATGTTCTTTTCCTAGAATGACACCAGAGGGCTTGCTTTATTAAAACTAGTAGCTCAAGCAGCTACTCATGTTATAGGATATAATGTGTAATGATGAAAAGCGCTTGGCTAGTTAAAAAATAACAATAATAAAACAAGACAGAAAAATATACCAATGCAGGTGCCACATGCTTAAAATTGCACAATACCAAATTCTATTTCATGCATTAATCATCCTAGGTTTCCTTTGGCATTTATGAGTGTTAGATGGGGTATAAGTGGCCCTTAGGATGTGGGCCATGAGCAGACTGCCCTCACTCAGTACCTGGCATGCAGAGCAGAAAGACAGTAAGAATATGTCATTTGAGTTTCATAATAAAAATTGTATTAGATCATAACCAATTGTAAAGCAGTTACTATGTTTCTTGTCAATAATATGTTAAACATTACATGAATTATCTCATTAAATATTCCCACTATAGAACTAAGATTATAATTATAACATTTTCCAGATGAAAAAGGAGATGCTCAGCAAACTGTGCAGGGTGAGGTGCCCATTGAGTGAAGGGAACCATATTCAAACCCAGAGTACTCTTAACAATTGTAGTTTTGCTTTAATTCATTTAGGCAATGGCCATCGCAGTTTTCTAAATAGACTGTGACATTTCAGGGAGTAGATATGGGATCTTTCTCCAACAAATCTCAAGCATATTGAATGAAATGAAATTTATGTGAGTAAATGATTAACAGAATCAGTTGACTGCTGTGACTCAATTTATTTACTCCAAGTCTATACAGAAAAGTGACTAGCACATCTGTGGGAGTGTTCCAAACATAGGCTCGTGCTTTAAGAGAGGAGTATAGGAGCTATACAGAGCAGGACAAGGAATTTAAACTGAGCTGAATTCAAAGACCTGACAAAAGTCTAAAGAGAACAATAAAATGGCCTTAAAGATGACAAAGAAATATTCATGCTCACGGACTTGGCAGCTACAAAATCCAGAGTTAAATCAGGGTCAGAAACGATTGAATACATTCTACCAATAGTTAGCAATAGCTCAAGAACTCTTCTGTTAGGTTCGTAATAATATGAGTATGGAGGGAAGGGAAGAAAGGTGAGCAAGTACAGTCAGTAAGAGGATTTGTAGGGCAGTGAAAACACTCTGCATGATACCATGGAGAGGGATACATGTCATTATACACTTCTCTGAAGCCATAGAATGTATACCCTATTTCCCTGAAAATAAGACAGTGTCTTATATTAATTTTTGCTCCCAAAGATGCGCTAGGTCTTATTTTCAGGGGAAGTCTTATTTTTCCATGAAGAAGAATACAGTACACATTTATTGTTAAATGAAAGTAAAGGAAATTTATTACCTGTATACAGTACGGTAGTGCGGTAGTTGTCAACACAAACCAGACAAACTGTGAATTCTACGGTATCAAGAATTTACTCATTTATTCAATGACAATCATGTCATCATCTTCTGGAACATCATCATAACAATCCAATTCCTGAATTTCTTGTGTCTCCATTTCTTTCAGAATCAGTGGACCAAATCTCTCATGTTTAGCCTGGGGGGGTGCTTATTTTCGGGGGGATGCCTTATATTTCACTCAGAAGGAAACCTGTTAAGTAGGTCTTGTTTTCGGAGGATGTCTTATTTTCGGGAAACACGGTAGTGCCAAAACTGAACCATAAAACTATGGATACTGGGTCATTATCATGTGTCCGTGATGCTTTGTCAATGATACAAAATGCACAATTCTGGTGGGGGATGTTGATGATGGGACAGGCCATAAATGTATGGAACAGAAGGTATATGGCAAGTAATTTCCATCTCCTCAATTATGTTGACAACCTTAAACTGCTCTAAAAAACTAAAGTCTATAAAGAAAAATGATTGGCACATCTGTGGGAGTGTTTCAAACACAGGTCAAAAGTTTGGAGTCAAAGAAACAAGTCAGAAAGGCTGTCACTACAGAAGTGCTGTGACTGTGAGGAAACATTCTGGAAATAATTCCTTGAGTAAAGGGCTTTCTGGAAGATAAGCTGTGAGCCTGCCTCACACAGAACGATTTTGTAAAGCTTTTCATCATTCTAAAGCCCTCCGGAGTCTGGGAATATTTGTCTCCAGCAATGTAGTGTTCGACCACACCTAGGAGCTCTCTTTCACATCACTTCTACTTTCATTAAATTGCCATTTTCCACCTAACAATATTGGCCTTATCCATATATTTTTAGTCTAACTAGTTCTCTAACTTATGTGTTAAAACTTTGAGCTGGGACACAGCATTTAGTGGTGCCATTCAAACTGTTGTTCTTTAATCAAGAGTATCAATCAGCATTCCCTGGAACCTTAGAATAACAAGTTTATGGGCTATATTCAAAGCCAGAATCAGAATCTCAGGGTGCGGGCCTAAGAATCCATGTTCATCAAGATCCAGATTACTATAATCACTGTGCAAATATTTTAAAAATACTGATAGATAAATATCAATACATAAACACCAGGGTTTTGTCAAAATTTGCATACTGATTATAGTTATGGCAATTCAGTGATTATCAGAGGTTAACCTGCTTTTAATCACCCAGCAAACATCAAGGCCCCCCTCCATCATTTTTAACTCCTGATTGGAGATAACAAATTTACATTTCTAAAAATTCCCGAAAGGATGCTGACACCATTGGCAAAAGAACCACATTTTGAGAACTGTTTTAGCTTTATCTGTGAGTCAGAGAATTTTGGGTTCAAATTTTGCTGCATATAAAACATGGACAGGATGTTAACAATCCTGAAGTATTATTTTTTTTTATTAAAAAAAAATAAGACAATTCTCTGTCCTGGCTGGCGACTCAGTTGGTTGGAGCTTCCTCCCATATACCTAAAGCTTGTGGGTACAATTTCTCTTAAGAGCACATACCTAGGTTTTGGGTGCGTACAGGAGGCAACTGATAGATGTTTCTATCTTCCTCTAAAGTCAATAAATATACCGTTTGGTGAGGATTAAAAAAAAATAATAATGAGAGAGAGACAGCACTCTGAACATAATCTGTCACAAGGTAGAAGTTTTGACCCAAAGTAGGCTTTCTTTCTGTAGATAAAAGTATCTCATAGTTTGTTATATGGACTGACAAAAAATGATTTATAAAAGTACCTAAATATATAAAGTAATGAATTAAAAATGATAGTTATTATTAAACTGACCTCTCTAGTTAGTGAAAAATTGTGTTTATGTTTTTTTTTCAATAAATTGATTAAAGAAAAAAGGAAGTTGAATTAAATTTGATCTTTCTGTGAGTTCTTATCAATGTTACATAATTTTATGATGTGACACCTTAATTTTGTCAAAAACATGTATGGTCATTACCACCTCTTAAGGCCACAGCACTGTAAGTTTTCACTTGAACAGAATCACAAATATCCCAAGTAGCTTCTACATGAAAACAAATTAACAGCCGCATACACATGTGGCCAATTTTATATAAAAACCAAACATCAGGCTGTTTCCAAAATTCAGCTGTTCAGCATTTTATAATCTTAATTAGATTCTTATCTTTTCTTGGAGTTTTGAAATTAAGTGCACATTGAGAGTTCATCTGCACCTTTGGATATTTGAATTGTCTCAATAGTTTGGAGATTAGAGGAGTTCATCTATGTGCTTTAACAGTCACATTTGCCACAAAAACTGCAACTCCACAGACTTCTTCCTCTATGATTCTGAAATAAAGCCTCAATAATAATTAACCTTATTTTACTGGCAACTAAATTGCCATTAAACCAGATAATGTTTTAATTAAGAACATTAACCTGAGGTTACTGAGATAGAACTGTGCATCTCTTTTGTGCTGAATTGCTAATGAAGGATATTTTATGAGTTCTGCACCATGCTGAATTAAGTAAAATACAAATATATTTGTTTAGTGTAAGTATTTCATTAGTAAATCTTACTACATTTGGGTATTTTATGCACTCATTTTAATGAAGTTTAATTTGAAACACAATTTAGTGTGAACTCTATGCATTAGTTCAATGTCTAAAATACCATTTTCGGAAGTTTATTAAATAAGTAAGAGCAAATCAAAATACATGTGTTAGTGAAAAAAAGCATACCTTTTTTTAAAACCCAGAGTAGAAAATAATGAGACCTTGAAAATTCAAGTAATACACCCAACATGACAGTGAAAGTTAGTATGAAAACAAAGACCAAAACCCAGACCTAGTCTCTTTGAGTCCTATGGTCTTAAATACTTAGGCAGGGATTTCCACTGGCAACCCCCTAAGAACTTGGGATTCTTTCTCTCAGCTTTGGCCATTGAAACACCTGTTTTTCATTTTAATACTCCTAAATGGTGGTCACTAACACACACTCAGGACCTTCATCATGTATTGCATCCATCATGTTGCCTGACATACAACATGCATTACATACAGACATATATTAGTATATGTTTATATGTGGCAAGTGTGAGGCTTTCTAAGAATGATAGTAATACAGGGTAGAACTAAAGTAGGTTTATAGTTGTTTGTATGGAAAATACTACAATAATTAATAAATAATAATAAAAAATAAACCATGTTTCCCAGACTCACAACTGTAAACCTACTCTGGCTCATCCCAGTGCAGAGCTAAGTCACTAACAGTAAGTGGAGCAAGCACAGCTCCACATATATTTGTTAGCTTGACCGGGAGACATTTTCATTCCTTGTACAACTTCTGTGATATGCTAACCTTTAGTAGCTTTATGGAGAGGGACAGAATCGATAAATGTGAGTTATTTCCCTGCTCTTAAAATAACTGTGACTTTCATACAAGGATTTGGCCTTTTAGAATCAAAGATTGTTTATTTGTAAAAAAAAAAAAAAAAAAAAAAAAAAAAAAAAAAAAGAGGCAATTGTGAGGAGGACGAAAGAGGAAAACAAAGAAAAGTCTCTGAAAACATAAAGCATGCTATTAGGACACATGCTTCATACAATTATAAGTAAATAGTACTATTACTTCATGCTTAGCTTAACTATTAAAAATATTTAAAAACTAATTAAATATCAACTTACTAAAGTGTCTAGGTTTGTCGATCAGGATCTGTTTAATTACTGCTGACATACTTAAATGTCCTGAGATGCTTTTATTTGTTCCTTTGTTTGCCTCAGTCTTGTTAAAATTATGAGGACTGAGAATATCCAAGCTCTAGCACCAAAGTCTTAAGAAGGAAACTTGAAGATGCAGCTACTGTGTATGGCTCTTCACTGTGAATCCTAAAATCCTCACCATTTGGGGGAAATGAGTTACAAAAAGCTGACCCATCCCGGGGCTGATTTTATTCTTTGTTCAGTGCACATGCTGGACAGTTCTGTGTGAAGATCTTACTTATTGACCTAAGCATTACACAATGTTCCACCAGTCCTTCAATTTGTCAGAATTATCTGATAACCTTTCATTACAATATGTAAATCCAATGGTGTGAGGATTAATAATGTATTGAGAAGTCTTTTCTGTTTTTCTCTGGAAAAAGTCAAGTGCAATGTGCTGGGCAGGCACAAACTGGCAACCATAAAACATGGCTGAATCTGTAACTGAAGAAATTGTAAGTACTTTTATTGGAATAGAATAAAAGTCTCTGTGAATACGTTTATTTTGGTGCTGGTCAAATGGCTATTTTCTCCTGAAGAACACTGAGTATGTGGGACTTCCAATGTATGTCCAGAGTAGACCCTACAAATAGTATTTCAGAATCCTGGGATCTGATTCCTCTCCTCCCTGCTGTCCCCCTTAGGCATCCGTTATTTAATGCCACACCCTGTGGAAGGAAGTCGGGTTGGAGAAAAACAGTACAGAACCTCATGGAGGAAACTCTCTGTTTATCCCCGACTCTCCATAAAGCCTTTTATTTTTCCCCCCACTTTGAAAAACTTAAGTCTAGCAGATGATAGAAAATAAGGACAATCACCCCAACAGGGACCATACCTTCACTGCAGGTGTAAAATAATATGTGTGATAAGTAATTTGTCCAGCACTCTGCCCAGTTAATGTAATATGCAAATTGAAAAATATAAAATCTATCATGCTAGGAAATACAAAAATACAACTCACTAAAAATGGCCTCCAGGTGAAACTAGCAGCCATGTCTTATTCTAATGAAGAGCTAAAATGTGTAAAGTGAATTTTTAAAAGTTTGCTATGAGGTATCTTTACTTGATTGATGCATAGAGGGCTTCACTTAGGAGCCTTTCCCTTTCTCACATAAGATGGGGAAAGTAAACTTTCCAAAGGAGACCTTAAGTAATTAAACATGAAATATACTGGAAAACCAACACACTCCAGGTGTTTTTGCAACCTGCTCTAGAAGCCTCACCTAACATTTGAAAATGGTTTCACCATCTGCACAGGTTTTCCGTCTTTGCCTGACTCAATAAAACAATTTTATCCTCGCTGCGCCTGGCCATGGCTCTACCCCAGTGTTTTATAAAGTATGTTCCAGAGTTTGCTCTGCCAAAACAGTACTGAAGTTAATGCTAATAAATCCTTTATGCTTAGTCTATTCTTTATTGGTGATTCTTTATGTTTCTGCAGATTCTTTATGCTTAGTCTACTTTTTATAGGAGATTTATAATACGCATTAAAATATAGTACATTAAGTGCTCTAAGAAATCATCTTGAGAGAAGCTAGATTTTTTGTCAACTAAGAATTTCCAGTGTATTTGAGGAGGGCACTTTTCCCTCCTTTATAACATCTATTGACAACTCACAGAATATACCTTGGAGAAAGACCCCTTATATCTTCTCATCATCTTTGAAGTGAGAGATGAGGGAAGGCAAGCATTAGAGCATCAAAGGGAAACAAATGCAACAAGGTCAAAGTTCCCACTGCACAACATCTTGATCTCCTCCTACACAAGCAGTGTGGAGACTACTGAAAGCTCTAAAATGATGCTTCCTTTTTTCTCCAAAGACAACTTGTTCATGAACCAAGAATACCATCAGTGAAGTCACTGGTGCAGATCAAGGGGCAACACACAAGCGCTGCCACGTGACTTACCTTAGGATACGGATACTGCTTCCCTTTGGGATACAATGCTCCAGTATACCGAGGAATAACCATGTTAGGCACCAGTGAATCATTTATCATCAGGAAGGCAAGCCTTTCTCCATCTGGTGACCACCAGTGGGCGATGTGAGAATGCAGAAGTTCTTCTAGAATAAATGAGTGTTATTTGAAACCCACTGTAGAGATGTGGGCTCAGTGACCCACAAACATCTGTCCTTGAAAGCTCCATTGTCGATGCACATTTTCTACATTTGTGATGGACTTCATCAACTTCATAAAGCATTCTCTATTTATGTGTTACCCCTTTGATCTCAGGAAAAGCAGATGCAAAGAAAGGAAGGAAGATGGGTTGTCATGGGTTGCCAACAATTGAATGGAGACAATGAAAGTACTGCCATGGTGAAAAGAAAGTAGACGTTTGCAAATACTAAAATCTTGGACTGCTGGCTCCTAATCAGTCACCTGCCTGCTAGCCAGGTCACTCCCAACTGCCCCTTCCCTGCCAGCCTGCCCCCCTCTGCTGGCCTGGTTGCTCCCAACCTTCCCCCCCCCCCCCCTTGCTGGCTTGGTTGCCCCACACAGCCTGCTTGTTCAGTCATTTGGTCATCTCTCACTAACCCCCCTGCTGGCTTGTTCATAGGCAGCCATCTTTGTGAGGGTGTGATGGTCAATTTGCTTCTTTATTATATAGGATAAGAAATAAAAATATAAGGTATTTTTTTGTGTGTGTGGCTCCAGATTCACTATCTACTTTTATATGCCTGCTTTCTGGCACAGAAAATTAACCTGTATGAAGCACATCAAGGGGATTCTCATGCCCTGTAGAATATGGCCATTAGGGTTCTTTAGCAATAGCTCAGGGGAGCATAAAGTCACAGTATTTACTCCTTTAACTCTGTCTTGATATGTCACCTTAAGCTTGCTGTGTGTTTTAAATGATCTCTCTCCTCTTGTCAATGCAGTCACCTCTCCACAATTTTCTGCTTTTGTATTTGGTAATGGTTCATCTCTATAGTCATAGACTGCTGCTAGTTTAAATTGTAGCTCTGTCCTTTATATTTCCCCTACACATTCACTTTGTAAATGGTCTCTTTGTACATAAATCCTCTTCAAATTATTGAATGTGCCACCTCTTTTCTCCTGGGACCCTGACTGATACAGTAATTAATAGCAGCAGAAGACTCAGGAAAGAGATCTTCAAAATTAGATTTTGAGATTAGGTTGGAGATATATCCACCTCTATAACTATATGTACTATCTTGATTTAATAATTACCTTTCCAGGAAGAATTGTAGCATACATAATCCATAGTAAGGAATGGAAGCATGAGTAATCAATTGTCACTGATAATGATGTGAAATGAAGTGCAAATAGGGAGGAAAGGTATTGAGAGGACAAAAGGATGTGACTTAGTTGCTACGGCAGTGGCAACTGTAAAGATTATAAAGTTTACCTAGTTCTTATGACATCTGACAGCTGTTACATAGGGAAAAACATAAACTAAATCCATGACTGCAAGATTTGGAATACACAAAAGGTCACCATGACATATTTGAAGGAGTCCCTCTCTTTTGTAGTTGCAGGGCAGATATGGTTGAGGTCCACCAGATCATATTAATGTTGCCAGTGAAAATGGATTCTTTTTTAATGTTTTGAGAAAACAATTTCAAAGGAATGCATGGAGGATGTTTACCAGTAAACATAGTGGCAATATTTATTGGAATGAGGGAGAAATACTACACCATTGGAATGGAGAGGGTGTCAAGCCTCTAGCAGCAGATGCCCCAGGTTCTTGATAATTATTCATATATGTTTGTGGTTCTCAGTAAGTAGCAAGCTTTCATTCAAAACCAAAACCATCCAACCTAGCTTCTGATTTTCCCAGGGTATGAGTTGGGTTCCTCCCCCTAACCAATATCTTTCCTAGACCTTCTGGGGTCCTGTGCCCTCATCCAATCCATTCCCTTTCTCAGGCTAGGCTTCACCCCTTCTTGGTGCAATTTTGGCATCTATTGCCATGCCTTAAACTAGAAACACCCCCTTCTGCATTATCTTATCTACTACTGGGATGTGTTCAGCTAAAATTTTCCTCTTCTACCACATACCATGGATCCCTGCCAGTTGATATTGGGCAGATTGCACCCTAAGGAGACTCATCCGGCCTGCTTCAAGGATTAAATACCCTCCATGGAGAATAAAGTGATCCCTTGGACTATGTGAATGAGTCTGTGAACGCTATAGCTTCCTGGTAAGTCACTTTTAATGAAGTGCTGTAATTTCCTAGTGAAGCAAGCCCAATATCTGATTCAACCTCCAAGTGTATTAAATTTAGCATCTAGTTCTACTTTCTCCCTTCCTTCATTAATACTAACTATCTACCTATGCCAACAGTAAGGGTTGAAAAAGGCAACACAAATCAGGAGCTCAAATGCACTTGTTTCTTAAAGTTAAGATAGAGATAATGGTAGAGAAGTGCTGGGCCCATGATACATAAAATAAGGATTTTTGTATAAACATGTGCACTCTGCTTGTGCTTTCTGAACCAGCCTCAGAAATAACAGATTTCATAGTGGGATACTGCTATATGTATCTAATTTTATGGATTAATATTTTGAACCTCCAATACCCACAAGTCTGTTAACAGAGGCAACCTCTATCTATAAATGTATAAAGGTGCAGGGAAGAGGAATCTCCGTAAAGTTTAACAGTCTGCATCCTTAGGGAATAGTTGAGATCTAGTATTTTGGGATATATTGGTCTATCTCTTTTACACTGACAGAAAATTAATTGATACTGTACTTGTATAAAAGTAAAGAGGTTCTGGACTCTCGATTTTGAAGAAAATGTGAACTACATTCACATGTGCTGCCTTTTTCTATTTCCCATCTAAACTGTAAAGGTGCCAACTCTGAGTAGGACTTGAGCAAGTGAGAGCTATGCAGCAGATCAAGGCCATGGTGCAACCTTCCCTTCCACCTTCACCTTGTGGCCCCACAGACACAAGAGCAAGGCAATTATCCATGGTGAATGGAGATACTGTGGAGCTTCGGACGCTCATCATATGATCAAAGCAAGGCAATACAAGCTTCCCAGAAAGGCCATTTCTCCTGTGCTGATAAATATTCTTTATTTCAAAAGCAGCTCTTTACTTGGCTCTGGCAGAAGCAATTAGCCTGACCATGAGATAGCGAGTGACTATGCAACCCAAATGCCCATCATGAACTGACTATTATCTGATTCACTGACCATAAAACTAAACACAAACAGCAATATTTCACTACAAAAAAGAAAAGAAAAGAAAAAAGCAGTATACTGGTGTGTGGGATTGGACCAAAACACAGAAGTCAATTACTCATGGTATTGCACCCACTGCTTTTTCCTCCTACATTATCTCACATCTAGGCCTCAAGATGTATTTCTAACACAAATTGGCAGAAAAGCCATAAATGCACGTCTGGTTAATAGGCAGATTTGCACATTGTACTTGAACACGCTGGAATTGGATAGGCCCTGGACTACAATCTGATTCAGGAATGGCAGTACAAGACTATAGTAACATAAATCCTCTGAGCTGGCAGACTTTTGCATAGATATTTAGTTTTCCACTACGTGTGGAAAGAGACTTGGCATAAAATATGGATCCCTGACTTATGCACAATAACTAATAAATGGCCACCCAATGAGAAGAGTAGCATTGGAAAATTAGTGAAAAGAAAGATTAGGGGGGAAATAAGTGCACATATTTTTGTTTAAATCTATTTTTATTGATTTCAGAAAGGAAGAGAAAGAGAGAAACATCAATGATGAGAATCATTGATTGGTTGCCTCCTGCATGCCCCCTAGTGGGGATTAAGCTGGCAACCCAGGCATGTGCCCTTGATCAGAATTAAACCTGGGACCCTTCCGTCTGCAGGCCAAAGCTTTGTCCACTGAGCCAAACCAGCTAGGGCAATAGTGCACAGATTTGTCAGAAGGGGTAAAAATGTGAAGACATAAGTGTTCCGTTTAATGTTCAACAGAGCACATTCACAGCAGGGCTGCTCTCAATAATCCAATGGGCAAGGTGACTACCAAGTTAACATCAGTTTGCCTCTGACTCCCACCATTATTTGCCAATAACAATGATTGTCACAAAACTGTTGATATGGCATTATTACCCAGCAGTTCCAGCTGACTACCTGTTGGCAGGTGTCTTAAGTGGAAGCCATTCTATCAATAAGGGTAGTGTTTTATCACTATTATAGGTATGGATATGCCTTTGCTGCCTGCAGTTCTATCAACACTACTCTCTGTGGACTTACAGAATAACATTCATTACTATGTCACTTCCAAACAAGCAATATTTTATAGCAAAAGAAGGGCAATGGGCTCAGACCCATCAAATGCACTGTTCTCATCATGTTCCCCATTGGCTGTATGTACCTGGCTTGTAGAGGAGTGACATGGCATGCTCCATCTGGGTCTTGGCACTATTTATTTGACAATGACCTTGTAGTTGGGATGTCATTCTACAACATGCAAGTATCCTTCCTGCACAGCCAGGAAAGCACAGATCTAGGAACTAGGGGGTGGAAGTGAAGTGTTTTCTTTCACTATCAATTAATAATCCACTGGACACATTTTGGATTTTGTCCTCACGATAATGAGCTTGGTGGGTTTAGAATTCTTAATGCTTGAAGGAGGATTATCTCCTACAGAGAATATAGTGGTAATTATGTTCCTCCGAATTGGAAGCTAGAATTTCCTTCTGACCATTTTGGGCTCAAATGACTGAGAAAAATAAACTGGCAGGAAACATAGACACTGAGTTGAGTCTGATGATTAATCTCATCTGCCAGAAAGAAATTTGTCTTTATTCTACAAGAAGGGCAAGGAATACTATATTTGGAACTCAGCAGATTCACAAATATGCCTTTGTTCAATTCCATCTCTCTTTCCAATTTCACATTTCGACATTCCAATTTCCATTTTGAACTGGTATTGTAGCATCCTCATTAAGAAAAAGAAGCAAAGAAATATGATTTGGTAGGACTAAAGCTTTGGTTTGATCCACCAGGTAAATAACCTGCCTAGTCAAGATGTTGGCAGAAGGTAAAGGAAAAAACAAATAATCATGAAGGGACACATGATTAGCAATTAAGGCCAC